CGTGGTTAATTTCTAGAACATATGCCGCTCTACACAAAAGAAGAAAAGTCTCTGGTTTGACTTAAATCAAATTAGCACAAGAATTATATAGTGAACGAAGCATACAGTGTTTAGTGAGACAGCCCTAAGTATAAATCCTGATTCTGCTATTGATTTGTGACGTTGGGCATGTGTTAGGTTCTCTGGGCTCAGATTCCTAATCTGTGAAATGGGACTGGCTCCTACCTGCCTCATAGAATTGTTATGATGAACAAATGAGATGACACAGGTAAGTCGCCTGGCACAATGCCTGAAATATATGTAATTAGGACCCCAGTAAATACTGGTGGTTTTTGACAGTAGGCTTGCCAGACAAAATAGAGAGAGGTGTTTTTTCACAAGAGTTTTAATAAAAAATAATTCCATTTCATTTTAAAACTATAATAAATAAACCATTCTGGGGTTCTTTCCCCTATTTTAACGAATCAAGGATACACCAAATTTAATTTTAAAAAACTACCCCAGCCCTGGCCGGTTTTGCTCAGCAGTTGGAGCGTCGGCCCACGGACTAGAGAGTTCTGGGTTCGGTTCCTGCTAAGGGCACATACCTTGGTTGCAGTTTGTCCCCGGCCCCAGCTGGGGTTGTGTGGGTGGCCACCAGTTGATGTGTCTCTCTCACATCGATGTTTCTCTCTCTCTCTTCTACCCTCTCTCCCTCCTGCTCTATCTGAGGATAAATGCAAAAATATCCTCGAATGAGGATAAAGAAAAAAGAAAAACAAAAAAACTGCCCCAAAGGACTGGTAAGCTTGATTTATATTTTCTTTACCAGTCACTTCTATTTCATAAACCTGACATTCCCATGAAAATGCTATTAAGTAAAAACAAGATTTTATAGTAGTTGTGATAACCTGGATCTCAATGTGATACCTACAATTACCTGCAGCAAAGACACTATTTCTCATTGTTTTAGTTCCTCTTCTATATCAGCTGTGTCTTTTTATTTTTTTAATTTTCATCCGAGGATATTGCTCCATTTATCTTCAGATAGAGTGGGAGGGAAAGAGGGAGAAACATAGACGTGAGAGGGACACATCGACCACAGGCCCTGGTCGACCCGGACCAGGCCAGAGACTGAACTGCAACTGAGGGACGTGCTCTTGACTGGAATCGAACCCGAGACTCTTTGGTCCGTGGGACAGTGCTCTAACCGCTGTATCAGCTATATCTTTACTGCCTTCTTCCAGTCAAGTGAAACTCTTTCCCCTGAATCTGTGAGCCATGAACACGACACCTGTGGCTCGGAAGGCCTTTCACTTTGAGGTTATTAACCGGGGTGCAGGAAGGAAGGGACAAGGCACCCATCCAGTACGTGCAGCGCCCCTCAAAAGACGTGTGAGCAGGTGGGATCAGGCTGCGGGCACTGGCGGGAGACACCCTCTGACATGCCGTCAGAAAAACCCAAGCGGTCCCCTGGAGGTGCTAGGGTCCCATCACCAGGGCAGCCCAAGCAAAGGCCCCTGCGCCGGAGGATCTGCCGGCTAAATGCCCCGTCGGCTCGTGTCCCTATCTACCTGGGATCACGGTTTCTCTAAAATGACATCATTGTGAAAATGTTCTGCAACTAGAGAGGGCTCCACAACATGGTGGAGGTGCTAAATGTACTGAACTGTACACTTGGTTAAAAACGGCGTGTGCGTTGTGTACACTAGAACATAACAGGAAAATGGACGGCGTCATTGGACGACAATCTCCGAGGGCCTAGCTGCGCCCTGAAGGAGCACACCGCTCGGGCCACCAGACTGCGTCGTCGAAGGCAGGCCACTGGACACGCTCTCGTCCCCGAGGGGAACGGCCAGCTGAGCGATGGCGAATGCGGCAGGTGACACGTCCGTGAGAACCGGCGCCCCTGAAAACACCCTCGGCGCTGCGGGAAGACCCCTGCGACATGCAAGGAGGATCTCCACTGCGGGTCATGTGATCCTAACTCACAGATAAATCAAAACGCTAGCACTGTTCATCCCTGACTCGCGGGATTACAAATGGTTCTGATTCCTTTATACATTTCTCAAGTCGTCTACAAAGGGCATGAATTACTATCGGAATCGATAAAAACGATGTAAAGCACACAGTAAAGGCAGCACTTAGCATCCCGCAACTCCCGACAGGAGCCAGGGTGCTGCAGAGCGGCCGCGGGGAACGGAGCGGGCACCGGTGGGAAGAAGGGATTTAGGACCCGGGTCAGCCAGGGCCCAGGGGGCCCCACCCCGCTGCACCTCGGTTTCTCCGGATGGGACGGGGTGTGTGAAGGGCAGATGAGATCATGCCGGGGGACAGTTGTGTTGATTGAAGAGTCCTCTGAGCTGTTTTCCTGGTCGCTGGGTGTATTCACACTGCACATTTCCAAATCCTTCCCCTCAACAAAAACCTAACGAGTGCTTAGCAAGTCGGCGATTGCCACACATCCAGTCATTTAGGAGTGAACTGCCAGTAACAGTGCCGCTTTCTTCTTCTCGTCTTTCTTCCTGTAACCTTAACAGGAGGACGTTTCATTTCCTAGCTCCAGTTGAAGGAGATGAGGATGGAGCCAGCTTGCGCCCCCCAGGAACCTGGGCTTCTCGGGAGGAACCGGGCTGCCCCCCTTTGCAGGAGGGAGCACTGTTCCCCTGGAACCTTCTGCACTGTTGAACTTTTTTTTTTTTAATCCTCACCTGAGGATATGTTTTTATTGATTTGAGAGAGAAATGAAGAGAGAAAGAGAGAAACATCAATGTGAGAGAGAAACATCCATTGGTTGCCTCCCTGGCACCCTGGCCGGGGATCAAAACTGCAACCTAGGTATGTGCCCTGACCAGGAATTGAACCCACAACCTTTTGGTGTAAGGATGACGCTCCAGCCAACGGGGCCACCTGGCTATGGCCGCACTGTTGAACCCATGCTGCCCTGGTCACCCCTCTGACTTTCTTTGAGACCGGTATCAAGACCCACTCGGAAGAACCATGAACAGAACGGACAGGACTTGGTATTCGCATCAGCCGGTCTCTCTTAGGGGCTGGCTCCTTGGACCAGTGTGCAGAGAAGACCACTTTGGAGGGTGGTCAAGCATGGTGTTTCTCTCTCAGACACCTTTCCCATTTAAAAGAGCTTATGGGACACACATGTTCACAACCCGGATTTTTTAAATTTTAGGCTTATCTTGCTATTAGAATCAAACTTTCCCCATTTCAGCAAACTCTATGAAACATCTCCCAAGCGCCTACTATGCGCCAGATCCTACAGAAACAGGATTGAGTAAGATGTGGTCCTCGCCTTCCAGGAGCTCGCAAATATAGTGCAGCTTGACCAGGGGACAAGGAGGCAGGGCCCAGGGACAGGAGTGGGACGTGGAAGAGAGTCGTCAGCGTGGCTGAGAGGCATCTGAGCTGGTTTTGAAAGTGGAGCAGAGGAGAGTTGGGCAGCCAGGGTCAGGGGAAGGTCTCAAAGGCAGAGGCAAGCCAGAAAGATACCGGGCTGGCCCAGCTGGTGACTGATGGCTTGGACGTGGGAGCACCAGGGACAAGGCCATTTCATAAAGGAAAGCGTACAAAGCAGCCTTGATGTTGAGCTTAGTACCATGAGACACGCTCCTCATTTTTCTGGATCAGTTAATCAGTCGGTCAGTATTTACTGTCCATGTTCAACATGCTCAGGACTCTGTCTCAGGAACGGATGCACAGGTGGGGAGGGGTGACACCTGGCCCTGGGGCACGCAGGTGGGAAAGGGTCACACCTGGTCCCAGGTGAGCTATGGGCAGCAGGAGACACGAAAGGGAGATGGGCTGCAAGTGCAGAGAGAGGCAGTGTGGGCAGAAGGGCACTGGGTGTCGCAGAGGGTGGGGCGGGCGGGAGGGCTCAAGGCCTCGAAGGGTATGTTGTGTCTGGGGCAGTGGCAGGACATGGGAGGGTGGGAAGAAATCGGGAATGGCCTTGAGCGCCAGAGTGAGGAGTATGACTTCATCCTATAGGCTCTCCGGGGTCCCTGAAGAGCTGTAGAAAGCCGGCAACCTGACCAGGTTTGCTTTGAAGGGTACCTCGGGTGCCAGTGTGCAGGATGGGTCTGTGGCTGGCAAAGGCTGGAGGCGGGAGGTCCTGTTGCGGGTCCAGGTGACAGTGCAGCTGTCAGGGAGCACTCGGGAGGTGGGACTGGCTGCGGAGCAGAGGGCGAGGACTTGGCGTTCATTCCAGTGCCTCCTGCTGGAGGCTGGCAGACCACACGGTCAAGGAGCCGGGAACAGAGGGCTTGGGGGAGGGGCAGTGATCGCTGCAGTCAGAGGTGCCTGTGGGCCCTTCTGGAGGTTGAATGGGGTGGGGGTAGTTGGAAATGTGGGTCAGGAGGTGAGAAACACATTCCAGGAGAGAGGTAGATACTTGAGAGTTATTAGCTGGGCATTTTCTTGAATATCAGAATAATTTCAGAATAAAACACCCGGACTACGGAATCACAACACTATAATCATTTGTTTTGTTTGAGTTCCAAATAAGAAAATAGTTCAGCCAGAAAACGTAATTGTGCCTATTCCTTGAGTCAGATAACTGATGTATCTTTGCAAATTGTTCACTGAACTGTGCCTATGGCTTCTTGCCAGCCCTCAATGAGATTTTTATATTTCTTAATTATTCAATTACTACCCATAAGTGGGAATTTAAAATCAAGCCCAGACTGCTCCGTAATCGAGTATTCTCTCGACTCATGAGTACAGTAAAGTTGTCCATGTTGGGAAACCAGGGTGGTAGAACAGGGGACATGTAAGTTTCCAGGCCTAGCCTTGTCCTGGGTTCAGGTCCTGGCTTGGGCACGCGCTAGCTCTGTGAGCTGACTTCGCTGAGGTCAGTTCTCTGGCCTGTGCAGTAGGAATGGTGACAATGCCCCCCTCCCGAGGTTGCTGGACAACAAAGGAAAAGGGGACCTGGGAGAGAAAGTGCTCTGTCTGCCGCAGAGCCCGCTCCGGTTGGCTCAGTCGCGAATTCCTGTGTGCTTCAGGTCTCAGCAGCGGGAGAACCCGTTAGCCGGAAAGGAGGGTCCTTCCAGCAGTGATGTGGCCATCACCTCCGGAGGCAACCTCAATCCCGAAGCCCACCTGCCCTCCATCTGCCTCAAGCAGGTCTTCCCCAAGTACGCCCAGCAGTTCAACTACCTGCGCCTGGTGGACAGGATGGCAAACCTGTTTATCCGGTTCCTGGGAATCAAGGGGACAACGAAGCTGGGACCAACCGGCTTTCGCACCTTCATAAGGTCAGTGAGACCAGCCCACGGCGTGGGCTTCGGACGGGGTGGGGTCCAGCCCCACATCTGGCTGGTCTGATTTGCCCGATCGCTCCTGGGAGGGTCTGAGGTGCTGGGGCAGTGGCCCCTCTGGGGTTGGATTGGCCCAATGTCTTACCTGTTGAATGAATTAGTGAATGTTATGAGTGTAACAGCTTTCACAATCCTATGCTGTGGTTAAAAAACAATTCTGTGCTGCCTTGAACTAGGTTCTTCAATCACATATAAGTAATTACCCCCTGGACTCAGACAGGCCTGTGCTTCTTAAACTGGCCTGATGTTCTCCCAACAGCACGTGGCTGCGTGTGGCGCGGTTATGAAGCCGCCGCAGAGAGACAAGGCACATCTTTCCAACGCGTCAATTTCAGGAGAGAAAAGTTAAATAATTCAGTCGATAAATAATTTAATCCGTTTGCTCTACTATAAAGATAACAAGGTTATATTATAGAGTATAATACACATTTTGCATGATTTTAAAGATACAACAGATTCTTGCTGATGCCTACAAAATAAGCCATTGCCACTTAATCTCCTGAGTATCTGCTATCTGCCTCGACCGTGGGGCACTTGGAGCAGTACAGGAGCATTTACTAGCTGTGTAACCCTTGGGCAAGTTAGTGGCCATCTCTGAACCTCACTGGTCCTAGGAAACGGGGTGAAGCTGCCTGTCCCCCAGCAGAGTGTTGTCCACTTCGGAGGAACCATCTGCCAGCATTTGGTGCTGCCGTTGTTCTTCTCATCGTTGGTTTTCCTCTCTCTACCTTGCACCTCAAAGTCACACGCTTCATGGTTTATTCACGAACGCAAATAATTAGAAGCCTTGCCTCGGAAACCATTTCGCCCCCCTTTTCTCTAAGTGAATTTTATAAACTCTAACTCCAGCCCTCCGAGGGGTCTGAGAGGATGGTAAACGGGAGCATCCGCAGGAATTTGGGCTTTTCAGTAACCCTGAAGTATTTGCTCTGAGGGTTTGAGAAGGGCCTTATGTAAGTGTCAGGGGCAAAAGGAAGCCCAGCGGAAGAGCACCGGCTTTGGGGTCTGGCTTCAGAGCCAAGTGCATTACTGTTGGCTTTGGACAAGTCCCTTGTCTTCTCTGAGTCTCAGTTCCCTCTTCTGTAAAACGGGAACAATCTCTCCTGCCTTGCAGGGTTATTATGAGGTTGGGAAGTAATATATCATAAAACACTTGGCCCAGTGCCCAGTTCAAGGGAGCTTTTTGTTAAATGGGAGTCTGAGGATTATTATTTCCATTAGGCTGTGGAAATTTGCAAGAAAGTCAACAGATACATGTTATGATTTCCCTGAGAATGCCACCTAATGTGATAACCCTCTGGCTCATTTAGGAATTGCATTTGATATGTACTAACGGATACCCACCTATAAATGGTTTAGATGATGTGATCAACTTTCTATCATACAACCAGAAGTTTGGCTGTGGGGGTTTCTAAGGCTGGTTAATGACTTCAGAAAGTGATCAGCACCCCACTTTCTTCCTTTCTGCTCATCCTTCATAAGCATGAGTTTCCAGCTGCAAAGTTGCCTTGTGGTCACAAGGTGGCTGCTCAAAATCCAGCCATCACGACCAAGTTCCAGGTAGGAAGGAGGAAGAAGGAAGGATGTACAAAAAGCCTCTTCCAAATGAATTAGACCCCTTTACAAAGCTTTCCAGAAGCTGTATTCAATGACTTCCAATCCCATCTATCTTCTTGGTCACTGCCAACTGCATGGGAAGCTGGGAAATAGAGTTTTTCTGACTGTGTATGCTGCTTTCCCAATACAGTGAAGAGGAGAAAAATGTGTAAATCTCCATCCCTTTGTGGTTACTGTAGCTTGGGACCTAGGGAAACAGCTCAGTGACAGAGGCCCCAAGTCATGAGGGTTCTTGAGGCCATGGGAGTGTGCAGGGACCCCGGGGAGTGACGAGGGTGAGCATTCTTCTCTCAGCATGACACATCCAGGGGCTCAGGCCTTCTGAGCAAAGGCAGGAGCTGTCTGGGCCCTTCCCAGCCCCTGCACCACTGCACAGAAGAGGCAATTCAAGACCCACAAAAGTCTGGGTGCTGCAGGAGACCCTGGACCTGGGAGACCTGCTTTGTCTCAACCTCTTGGTGCGAAAGGATCGTGTTAGGTTTGACCTAACAACTTCCCTTGAGCACCCGGTAGCCACAGGACGATCAGAGATAAATAATGGAACCCCACCTGCCTTCAGGGGGCTCTCAGTCCAACAGACAACACACAGGGAACAAATAGTGAAATGCAATCCTTTGGCAGAGTCACGAGGCAGCAGACAGAATAGGGACAGAATAGGGGACCCTCCGTCTGCCTGGTGGAATCAAGGCAGGCCCCCTAGAGGAGGCGGGGCTATCCCTTCCAGGCAGCAGCGAGAGCTGGAGAATGGCTCCTGTTCAGAAGTGAGAAAAGACTTATCTCCCAGGCTAAATTGGTGGTGGAAACTGAAATGCTTCCTTTTTATTCCTAATAAAATTCTACTAGAATGGAAGAGAGAAGGGGAGATTAGAAAAACTAGTGTACCATAAGAATCACAATCTCAGTTGCCTCCGGGAGCAGGCAGGAAGCAGGTCCAAGCGCCACGGCTGGATCTGGGAGGAGGAGGGAGCCGCTGGGAGCCTAGAGAGCTCACGCTGGGGAGGGAAAGACCCTGCTGGGCCAGTAGCCCCAGAGCTTTTGATTTTTCAAGAGAAACTAGAGCTACTGATTTCTGTGTCAAACTTCAATACATGTGTATCAATGTTGGCCATTCAGAAGATGGTTTTAAAACCCCATGTGGGTTCCATCAGAGCGTGACTGCCCGTGGAGACCAGCAGTGGGTGGCCTGCGTGTGAGAATCCAAGGTGCATTGAGGGGCCGCTGTGGCTATGCCGCGCCCTGAAGAGAAGACAGGATCAGGAAGGGTTCCAGCCAAGAACATTCCTGAAATGCTCTCAGCCGGGGGCTGGGTAATGTCAGAAGTATTGCTACAAATCTGTCTCTATGTGATCAGCTTTATGCTTTTCCACCCCTTTGTTCTCCTTAATGAAGGGCATTTGCATGAAACATCGATTTTGTGACGTTAGAGACTATTAGGCCCTGTGGCCATCGTTCCCAACCTGTGTTAGTGGGAGTGACAGTGACCGGGGAAAGGGACCACAGTGTCTTCAGGTGGGAGAGAGGCCCCAGATTGCCGGACAGTAAGCCCCTCCCCGACTTCCCTCCACCTCCCACCCCCACTCCCACCCCCAGCAGCAAATGTCCTGAGTCATTAAGATGCAGGAAGAAATAGAGAAAACGCTGCACGACCCTTAATAGACTTTTCTTCTTTCCAATGTACCAAGAGATCCCAACAGCAACTTCATCATAAAAGATGATACTGTCTGCGTTCAGATTTATCTGCGTATGTTCAGTCCTGCCAGCTAAATTCCACAGCCAGCATTTTCTCTCGGTAATAACGGTTCTCTCTCTCTCCTTTGCACTTCGCTTAAATGTCGCTCCATTATGAATTAATAATATTGATGCCACACGTGAAATCGCACCAAGGGCCCTTCTCCGGAGCAGCGCCTGGGAGGCAGGCACGCTGGCTGGACAGACCTTCGTTCAGAGCCCCACACCCGGCCGGGGCTGAACCTGGCTCTCATCCCCTCATCTCCGCGACCCTCTCTCTCTCTCTAAGTTCCTCGAAGGGAACTGGAGGGGACAAAATAGCGAGCATGCTGGCCAAATTCATCTCCAGGGCCCGTCTCCCATGCCGCTGCACACATCAGCAGCTTTAGGAGTGAATTATGCTAATGCCGGGCCGGCCCTCTTCTATCTTTCTCTTCCACCAGGAAACAAGGAATAATGAACTGTCGGTCCCTTGTCTAGACTTAACTCGGTCTAACCAGCTCTTCGTGGCGTTTCCTCGGGGGCACATAACAGTAGCACTATCACCATGAATTAAGTGCCTCTTTTCTCTGTCTCTTTTTTATTATTATTTCATAATAATTGCTGGGATGTGGAGACTTCTCTTTCTCTGAGAAACAGGAATGATCCAATTCCTCAGTCTGACAGCTTCCTTTGAGGGAAACGCACGTTTGTTCTACTCCTGGCCCCGGTTATTGATTTGGGGGACATCCCAGGTAATTCACGAAGAACGCGGCTTCCAAGCGTGTCCTCCCTCCGGACGTGACCTTGGTTCGCACGCGCCGCACTTCCTCTCCAGGGCTTGGAGACTGAACAGTTGCCACAGCCGGCGGGTTTCCAGGTATGGGGGCTTCGGGCAGGCTGTTCCTCTCGCAGATCCCTGCGCACCCCCCGGGCGGCCTCTGCCCCGTCTCCGTTTAAATTAGAGAATGGTTTCCCTTTTCCCTCTTTCCCCTTCCGCCCCTTTTCCTCAAAAGGAGATATGAATAGGCTTCATAATGGGTAGCTGTGGGGGATTTTATTCTCCGAGAGGCAACATAGTGTGTTAGAATGTTCTGGAACGGAAGCATGAGGGGCCGGGGTAACTTTGAACACCCCTGTTCTGTGATGATCTCTTTCTGGCAATATTGTGAGTCTATGGCAGGGAGAGCAAAGCCTTTGAAATACCAGATACAGCCCAGCCGGTGTGGCTCAGTGGTTGAGCACTGACCCATGCACCAAGAGGTCGCCGGTTCGATTCCCAGTCAGGGCACATGCCCAGGTTGTGGGCCTGATCCCCAGTGGGGGGCGTGCAGGAGGCGGCCAATCGATGTTCTCGCTCATCAATGTTTCTATCTTTCCCTCTCCCTTCCTCTGTCTCTAAAAATCAATAAAGAAAAAAAAAATACTATATACATTATAAACCGGAATCGAATCCCCACCCCAGCCCTTAGATGTTTAGATGGCGGTTTGTTTTTTTAAAAACAAATGTTGATCATTTGTTAGCTTTCACCTTATAGACACCTCTCCAGGGAAAATAAGCTCCTTTTCTGCACAGAGAAGGATGAACACCAAAAAATTCTATAAACAGGATTTTATGGGGTGGAGGAAGTTGGTGTCTAGATTTCCCACGAGATGGTAGTTGTTGAGAGGGAACAGGGATGATCGTTCCAAATGTTTCTGTACGTAGGGTCCTAATGAACTTGAATGATTTGCGAGTCTCTCCCATCACATGTGCCCAAACTCCTTTGATTCAAAAAACGAAACGAAACAAAACATTTCTCCAAACTGGTTCTGCGGAGGAGGCCGGAGCATCGTGGCTTCCCCACACACGCCAGGCACTGAGCTAGTCCTCAGCGCGTTCCGTCTGGTGAGTAGTTTGGTTCCGGTTGAATAAATGAGGCACTGTCGACGCAGAGAGCGTCAAGGTCACACAGCGAACTCAAGATTCAGACTCCACAGCTCATTTTCCCCACGTGCATGTCTAGCTGCCTTTTGTTGGGAATTTTTCTGGCTTCTCGTGGTACCATATTGCTTTTACTCCCCTTCTACTGAAGAATCCACCCTCTCGTCATCTGAAGACCTGCATCCCAGGGCATAAGGGGAAACTGTCCTCCGTGACTAAGGGCTACCAGGCTCCAAGATCACTTCCACCTCCGAGAGCGGAGCCCGAGACGGACCCGGCTCTGCATCACCACTGGACCCGGGATGCCTCCTGTGTTGCGGGGACGGGTGGGTGAAAGATCATTCGAGGTCTTGACCCCCAGACTCTTTCCCTTTTGGAATGTGTATTGAAAATGTTTGAGAGCCACAAGGACAAACCTGGGAGGACCTGTGTCCCAGTGACCCTGTCCTTTTCCCCAAAGATTTCCAACAGGGCTCTCTGCGGGCTCCAGCTCTCCCGGGCCCTGCCTGAGCCTCTGCGTCTTGAAGCCCAGGTTCTTCCCACTTCTCCCCACAGCTCCCAAGTCCACTACTCAAGCCTCCAGGGGACAGCTGCCTGTGACCCCCCAGTTGTGTAATTTCAGACAAGTCACATCCCTTCTCCTGAGTCTCAGCTTACCCATCACTGAAATGGGACTAAGAATACCTCCCTCATAGAGTAGCTCTAAGGACCCACAGAGGTAATAGGCAGGAAAAAGCATGGCATGCCCATGATACCCCCCAAATCCCTACAGAATCAAAATTCTTTTTTTTATTCTCACCTGAGGACATTTTTCCATTTTTTGTTCAGATAGAGTGGGAGGGAGAGAGAGGAAGAGAGAGAGAGAGAAACATCGACGTGAAGGGACACATCGAGTGGCTGCCACCCACACGACCAACCAGGGCCAGGGACAAACTGCAACCGAGGTACGTGCCCTTAGCGGGTCTTTCTGGACAGTAGGCCGACACTCTAACCACTGAGCCTAACCGGCCAGGGCAGAATCAAAATTCTTTTATAGCACTTCCTGTCTGCTGCAGCCGGCGGGGACCCCTCCCGACGGGGAGCAGATGCTGCCACAACTGTACTTGCTGGCAACAAGAGGGAGGATGGGTTTCCGCGGAAAAGGGATAAATGGAGAATTCTTTTTGGTAAATTACGGCTCCTGCTAAAGGTTTGACACTTCTATTTTCTACCTGTCAGGAAAAAAAAATAACTATATACCAGTGGTCAGTTCAGTTTCACTCCTTATACCCCATTAACCCACAGAGCAGGCCGGCAGAGCTCCTGTCCTGTGGGGGAGCGGGGAGCCCAGAAGACGCGGATACGACAATTAGGGAAAACCCTGGCCTTTCTGGATTAGCTTTGGAAAGGGGCCGTGCAGGTCGTTGGAATAATTTGGGAGAGAGGGGGGGCCCCGCCTCGGCGGAACCCGGTAGAGAGAGTCATCGTGGTGACAGGGGACATGACGAGCTCTGCGTCCACTGACATGTTGTTACGGGGGCTCAATAACTGTGCGCTGATGTGCTTTGAAGTCTGCCACGGTGACTGGCGATTGAAATACGGAGCCGGCTCAGGAGGAAGCAGGATGTGAATTGACGGCTGGAGAAATACACAAGGGGCAGGAGGAAAGGAAGGGGGGGGAGAGCCAGCTGCTGGCGTGGAGGGAGCACCAGCCTGGTCCAGGCGCCACGCTGGCTCCCTTCCAGCCACCCTCGTGAGGGGTTGCGTGGGTTTGGAGAGGGGCCTCCGAAATGCCCAAAACCAGTTTGCCAATCAACCCCTGGCCTGTCAGGTTCCTAAGGGAGCAATTCACACAAGGGATGATGATAAATGGAAAATCAAAGAACCGCTTTATCATTAGCTGGGGTGACGGATGTGGAAAGTGGAAAGCAGCACTGAATGTAGTGCAGCCAGATGCACGGCCAGCCCAGAGGTCTGGCTTCAGGATTTCCAGGCAAACCCAGTAGTGTGGGGACTCGCCTCACAGCACGATCCCTTCAGGGGGGCAGAGCCCCTGGCCAGGCCAGGGGGCTGCCCCCAGCCCGCCCGGAGCCCAGCCCTGGCCCCCACGCTGACCGACGAGCGGCATTTCTCTGGAATGGACGGCCACTCGGTGAGCATGGGCCTCAGGCAGCCTCTGCGGGAGCTGAGGAGGTTCTACTTCTGGGAGAAAAGAGGAGAAAAGACAGGAGAGATGGGAAGGGACCCAGCAGTTGTCACGGACCAACCAGGTTCTGGGCACCAGGCCGGCTCCTCGTCTCGTCTTCACAACAGCCGAGTGGGCGGATACTACTATCTTCACTTGGAGACCAGCAAACACCAGCTCGGAGGTTTAAGTAAATCGCCCACACCACAGGGTTTCAGTTCTGGCCTGTCAGATGCCCGAACCTTGCTCTTTTCCGTATGCTGGACTGCCTCCCCACATTTCCAGACCCCCTACCAACAAGGTGGGAGGAGAAGGATTCTACACACCCCTCTGTGACTTGGACAGGGCGCACCATGGGCCTGAAACCCGGCCTCTCTGCTCCTAAACCGGGGGCCATCGGAAGCTCAGAGGCCTGCCCCTCCCTCCTCCCGTCTTTTCCCGGTGACTCCCCTGAAAGCAGGAATAAGCATTAAGCGCCCCCCCCCCCCCGCCCACACAGAGGGGCACCGGGAGCCTGTGCCATTCTCTGTGAGTCTTGGGCTTACTGTGGCTGACTCAGAGCCTATATGAAGTCTTCAGGTATTGAACTAAGACGAGTGCAGTACAGAGGCCCGGGCCCCTGTCTGCAGACTTGGTCCCAGGGACTCCTGGTGAGCATTTTCAGGGGCAGCTCACTCTGCACAGCAGGGTGAGCTGCAGCAGGCACTGGGTCGTGCTGTTGCCACGGGGTCACCTGAGCGTGCCTCCGTCAGCCCCCTGGTGCTGGCAGGGAACTGGGCCCAGCTGTTCTCCCTTCTCCAGACCTAGTGGGGGCGAAGGTGAGGACACGCGCAGGGTGTGTCTTCGGAACGTGGAGTTCCTGTTTCCCTGCAGCAGACAGAAACCCACCCTGGACGTGTAGGACAGGCTGGCTCCCATGACCAGAACGAAGGCCACCTGTGTCACAGATGAGGACGCTGAGGCTCAGGAAGGGGAAACTGCTTAACCAGGGCCATGCAGCGTCAAAGTGGCAGATCCGGGTTGGCCGCAAGATTTGCCTCTCTGAGGTCCTTGATCCTTGTAGCCCATTAAAACCCTAATTAGCCAAATTACAGGAGCCCACATGATCTAACCTCAGCATGCATTGTCAGCCTTCTCTCCCCCATGCCCTGCCGCCACCCTTCATTAGTTCCAGCCGTGGGAAGGGAGGGCCTGGAGGCAGGACAGAGCAGGACCGGTTTGGGCCCGCAGTGACACGTCCCTTCCCGTCTCCGGCAGGAATTGCAAGCTCAGCAGCAGCAGCTTGTCCATGGCGGCCGTGGACATCCTCTACATCGACATCACGAGGAGATGGAACTCCATGACCCTGGACCAGCGGGATTCAGGTACCTGGTGACTGGCCTCCACCATGCCCTGCAGGAGCTCAGACAGGGATGGGCAGTCCATTTTCTGTTTCTTCTCTTTCAGGGTCAAGGTGGGGGGAGGAGGAAGTTTGTTCCATCTGCTTGAGGGACTGAGCTACATTTGAGTTCAGGGCCACTGTCCACTACAAGGCTGTGCCCGCCCAAGCTCCAGTTCCCCCATTAGAACCCCTGGTTTCGGCTCGGGGCTCTGATAGCATTCGTACCAGGAATGCTCTGCCACCGTTCATTCACACCCCCACACCCTCGGAGCACGGGTGGGCCAGGCCCTGCAGAGACTGGAGTGAAGAGTGCTTGGTTCTCACCCTGAAAAGAAAATCACTGTTGAGTGAGAGGTGGATGAGAACACAACACCGGGCAGTGGACGCGTGCCGCGGGAGGGAGGCGCTCCTGATCCAGGGCTGCCGAGGGAGCCGGCTGGAGACCAGCAAATGCTGTCAGCCGGTGAACAGGGCGGGACAGACCCCCTCCTGCAGGGGTGCTGCCTGGGCCAGGCCACACCTGTGAAAGGCTAGGGACCCCCAAGTGGCTCAGGTGGAGCAAGAAGGGAGGGGGACGCGGCGAAGACGGGGTGGGAGGAGCTGCTGAGGCCTTGAAGGCCACACAGAAGTTTGCTCCCGATCCTCTCGGTTCTGCAGCATTAAAGCTTCAGTCAGAAGGATCCACCTTTAGGCGGATGAAGTGCTGATCTATTCCTCATAAAGGGTGTTCTTCTACCAAGTCGTAATAGTCATACCTGACATTTGTACCACTCCTCACAAAGTTACCAAGTACTTGCATGCATATTCCCTCTAAATGCGCACGTGCCGGAGGTGTCACGTCTCATTTCAGATGCGTAAACCGCAGCTCCGGTCACCTGGCACCTGGACTTCGCTCCGAAAGGGCCCCACAGAGGGGGGCATCTGAGAGGAACTTTCAGGGAGTGGGAGGGGAGGACATGAAATCGGGGTTGGGAGATCCAGGGTGAAACTGACCATGCCTCTTCTAGGATGAAACTTGAAAAGCTCTTTCACCCCCTGGTCCCCATTTCCTCTCCTGTGACCGGTGCCAACAGCGCCGCTCTGCAGGGTGCTTTGGTCTCCGGTGGGAGTGGGTGTGGAAGCCTTTGGAGCCCCGGTGGCAGTTCAAGCAGTCAGTCTTATCAGTAGGCACCACTCAGGGAGGACCCTGGGTGCACCTGTCTGACAGCAGGTGTCCCTGTCAGATCCCGCGCACACCTGTGGTTGCCCTGGGCCACCGTCTCCTGACCACAGGGACCACAGGCCCTTCCCGTGGGCGGTGCTCAGGCTGCATTGCGGATTGGCTGCACAGCTGGTGATGATGCTCCCGCCGCCCACCCGTTGCTGGGTGTTTTCTACGTGCCAAGCACTCTGCCAGGCCCCTTCCGCGGGCACACTGGCCAGAATCCCCTTGGGGGCAGGCGTGGTTATCTCCACTGTGCAGAGAAGGAAACCGGGGCTCAGAGGCACAGCTGGGGGGTGTGGCTCCAGCACCACGCTGCCACCGTGCCCAGATCAGTTGCTTTGCCCTACTAATCGGTCCTGCAGTAAGAGGATCCCCCCAGCTCCCAGCCTTTCTTTAGTCGAAAAGCAGAACTCTGGGGAATAGCGACACTCATTGATCAGTAAGGTGCGTGTTCCTGCGCGTCTCCGCAGGGGGCGCTCCCCCGCAGCCTTCCCTGGTGGAGACCAGCCCCTTCAGGGGGGCAGGCAGATTGATCATCATCTGGGGGGAGGGCTCCTGACAGTTGAGCGAGAGCTTTCGCTGACGCCTTCAGAAAGTAAAGAAGTGTTTGCCCTGTGAGTTGAGTGGGGAGTCATGGCAGGGTCCCGCGGAGGGGCCAGCTGAGGGGGCGGCCTGCCAATGGAATGATTAAATATTGAAATTGATCAGGAGTAGCAGCCGGAAGCTATTTATCATGTTTTATTGCTTCAAACTATCATTACCATCTGGCCCATTGTTAATTCTGAGTAGCTTTTCCTGTTTTGTTTGCCTCTCAAGTTGCTCCCTGTACGCGGAATCCGGAATCCGCAGGGGGCTGCCGGCGATACAGGCTTGGTGAGGTTTTTTCTGGGGCCTGCCAGCTTTCTGGGGTCTGCTGACCAAGCTAAGGAGAGGAGTAAAATACTTATTTTTAGCCCATTCTGACAAGCAACTCCCGGGCTGGGACCTTCTGGCCTCTCGCCCCGCCTCAGCTCGAGTGTGTGGAGCAGCAACAGTAATAACTAGTTTTGAGATCATCTCCTAGGTGACACATCACTGCTAGCTCTCACAGCCCCTTCGAGGTGGCTGATCGTGCCCCATTGTACCGATGAGGAGCCTGAGGCTTGTCTGAAATCCCACAGCCCGTGCGCAGCCTCTGGCCCGGGCCCCCAACTCTGGCCCGGACCCCCACTGCCACTGCAGGGCCCCTCATTTCATCAGCTGAGGAGGGGTGCGGCTTGTGAGGCAGGGAGGGGAAAGGTCAACTCACAAGACCTGTGGAGGAAGGAACTGAAGTGGGGGTGGTGCGGAGTCCGGGAGCCTGTCTGCCCTTCCTTCGCCCTGAGCTCGCGCCCCTGTTTCCACAGCTCCGGAGAGGAAATGCCAGGGTCTGGGGTAGAGGCAGTGTGGGCTGGGCATTGCAGGCAGGAATGAGAGCCCATCTGTGCCAGTGATCTCAGGGTCTCTGCTGTCTGGCTGGTGCCAGCCAGGGCCCAGGCTGCCTCCTGAGACGGCTGGTGCAACACCCTGATTCTCAAAGACAAGGTGCTTCTGAAGCTTCTGCCATCTTAGGACCATTCAGGAAGCTACTGGAGGGCAAGAGAGGGCATCTGTGGTCGAGTGCTGGTTCTCCTTCTGGCAAGTGTCGGCAAGGGAGCAGAGGGTCCTTCCTTCCCCCCACAGGCTGACCCCAGACTCCCAGTCAGGTCCTGGCAGAGGGGTGGGTGCCATGTCCCAGAGCTGCTGAGGGGCTGGCAAGAAAGAAGTCAGAGTGGTAGAACGTGGGTTCTCATGCCCAAAGGGCATTCATTCATTCATAAGCAGAGACTGAACTTGTTAACAGGCATTGGGCCCTATGGGAATATAAAGAGAAATTGCTGACAGATCCCACAGTCAAGAAAAAGAATAAAAATAGAGACCATTTATTGAACATTTACTATTTGACAAAATTAAAAAAGTTTGTTATGAATGATGTCCTTTGAGCCCACACAGCCCTGTGAGGTAAGGGCTCTTACTCCCATTTGACAGTTGAGAAACCCAAGGCTTAAAGAGGTGATTTTAAACTGATGTGGCAGGTATTCCAACGGGGACCCTGGGGTTCGAACCAAGAGCAGTCTGCCCATTGCCTTTGCACTGTACCCGGTGTCTCTGCCTCACAAGCGCAGAGGATGCACCGTTGACACACGCAGCCGGGTGTGGCCAGAGCTCCCGTGGGGAGAGCAAGAAAGGAGAGTCGCTGTGCGGTTCAGAGAGAGAACACGTAATGCACGTAGCGTGTGTGTGAACCAGAAGAGGCACGGGCTGTGTGTTCTGTACCCCGAAGGGACTGGCACATGGCCCGGAGTGTGCCGGAGCTTCTCCCTCGGTGCCCAGTGAATGTCTGATGAGCAGACGGATGCCAAAATAAAAACTGCCTGCATCCCCAAAGCAGGGAGTTCTGAGCGTGAGAACCATGGCTTAGAGAGCAGTGGTCTGCTTGAGGGGTCCACCTTTCCGCTCCTTACTGTCCAGCATAAAACGCCAGCCTGTTTGGGTAAGATCATCACCCCCACCCCACCAGCTGTATCCAAGTGCTCACGCAACGGTCTCTTCTAGAAGCCAGCCCAGACCTTCCTTCGCCCTAATGAGACTCTGGTGCCCACGAAGGGGGCGACCCAGATTCCTGATGCTTGAGACCTTTATGAACCTATTCTTGAAATGGAGGAAAAAATGGTGTTAAAAAGAGTACTGAAGGGGAAAAGAACGAGTAAGAAAAAGCATGTGTGCATGTCATAAAATCTAAATCTCAGACCATCCTTTTGAATAGGCTTGTTTTCAATTAATTTTTTTAAATTGGGCCAGGTGCATAGGATCGGATTAATCTTAATCCTTGTTTCATGAGATAGCCTACTTTTATTTAGTCCGCTTACTTTTAATAATGGCATAAGCATTCTCTAATTCATCACCCAGAACAAGAGCTTGGACTTGACAATAACCCGCATACAACACATGGCTCTTCACACACCCGCCCATTCCTGCTCTCGCCCCACCCCCTCCTCTGCACCCTGTGCTCATCGTCCCCAGACGGGCTTGTCTTTCTGTCCAAATGTCAGTGGCTGCTCGGCAGCATGATGGAATTGAGTAATATGCGATCTCACACTCCCAGCAGGCCCATGTCATTGTCACTTTTTTAAAAAATTAAAGATTTCAATTTCCAATGTTAGAATTTCCAGCAGAACACGGGAATCCAAATGAGGGTGTTATCGGCAAAACTGTGGTGTGGTAGCCCTCTGGTTGCCCAGCACCAAAGAAACACATTTGTCAGCGAGGATGAGGTTATCTCCTGTAAACTGCGCTCAGAGCTGCTCCGCACCCTTGAGACTCCTCGCTCACTCCTCCCAGAGTGGAATCTCACTTCTCCGTGGGAAGCCGCGGGCAGCGTCAGGTCTGGCAGTAGAAGGAGGTATCACTGGTGTCATCTTTGAGAGGCAAGGACCTCGCCACTTTGGCTCAGCGGTTAGAGCGTCAGCCTGCGGTCCAGAGAGACCCGGGTTCGGTTCCCGCTAAGGGCATGTAACTTGGTTGCAGTTTGTCCCCGGCCCTGGTTGGTCGTGCGGGTGGCAGCCACTCGATGTGTCCCTTTCACGTCGATGTTTCTCTCTCTCTCTCTCTTTTCCTCTCCTTCCCTCCCACTCTATCTGAACAAAAATTGGAAAAATGTCCTCCGGCGAGGATAAAAAAAAAGAAGAAGAAGAAGAAAGAAAGAGAGACGAGGATCTCAC